AATAACTTACTTATCAACTTAGTTATTCATCAACTAGAATTAATGACTGTAACCAACTGACGAGCTGGTCGACCAACAGGGTACGAACGAACTGACTTTATTACCAACAGACTTCTTAATTAAGCAACTAACTATAACGAATACTAACTTTCTACGAACGAGTCGCACTGGCGCTTAGGCGCAATTCAGGAACAATGTTTATGTGTTTTTTTCCGTCATTTTAAAACACATTGGCTGCATACTTTTCATGTACTTAACATATCTTCGTTAATATTTCAAACGTCTAAGATAAATTTATTATAAATACTGTGTAGATTTAGAAGTTTACTATTGTAAAAGTGATTTATAATTTGATAGAATTAATAATGTAAGAAAAAGTTTCGTATCCAGCAAAAAATTGTCGGTTTATTATATATTGGTGGATTTCATGCAGGTAAGCGTTATCAGACGGCTGATCACTTGGTCAACTTCAGAAATCGGTTGACATTATAGGAGCGAAACAGTTAAACTATATCTCCCAATCCTATTTATTTAACATCAAATACAAGGTTACTAAAGGTGGAGTAATACGGGCAACAAAATTGCTGCAACTTGCAACAAAATCTGATTTCAACGCATGTTACAGTAAGTAGAAGTGTCGACACATGTTGCCTCGTGATTTGTCAGGTTGATGCAATACTGATGAAAACAGGATTGAACAATGTTTTGCTGCCCACATTGTTCATAGCTGTCAACAATATTGAACAATATTGTTACACCCGATTCAGGCTCAAAAACATTGTTCAATATTGTTGACAGCTATGAACAACGTGGGCAGCAAAACATTGTTCAGTCCTGTTGAGCAACGGGCTCGGCGTTTTTTGCCGTGTAGTTTATGTGTTTTTAAAAATTTTCAATTAACATGCGTAGAGATCAGATTTTGTTGCAAGTTGCAGCAACTCCATGCAGCTTAAAAGCTAGAATTATCATTATTTTCTCAATCTGATAACCATCGGTTGACTATCATCTGCATTAGTGTATTTGGCAACCGAGAACGGCAACCGGCAACGACAGGAAACAACATTACTTCCATTTCTGTATTTGAGCCAAAGCACACATTATTAAAAACTTTATTTGTATACCAACAGTATAGTTTCGAGTGCGTTTTGGAAAAAACATGCACGAGTGAGTTTTTTCAAAGACTATCAAAATTGCACGAGTCCGAAGGACGAGTGCAATTTGAAGTCTTTGAAAAACTCCTGCACGAGTGCCTGATGTTGTTTTTTTTAAACTGCACTAGAAACCGTACAGTACTTATTAATATACATGAAAAAATTATGCAGTCGCGTGCGCAAATCACATTTAGAAATTAAGAAATGAAGAAAATTAAGAAATTTGAAAAATAAATAATAAGAAAATTTAGAAAATTAAGAAATTCGCATTTTATTTCATTTTTTGGCACTGTATTTCGAAAAAATTGCACTGCTCTTGCTCTTAGCCAATCAGAATTGAGAAATTTTTCATGTATACTATTAGCCACTTAAGGTGGCTCCCTACAGTTAGTACAGTTTAATTACGATTTATATAGATCAGACTTCATCCTCGCGACCTGCGCGTGGAATCGTCGTGTTTACTGTTCGGCAAAAATATTGAAACAAGCCGTGGGAAGTTTTTTGGCGTTTTTATCTACAAAGAAAGCCCCAGTTTTTCATTATAATCCTAATTTTTTCTGAATTCGAACAGTACGTATGTTATTAACTAGTTTAACCTATCTTTTAGTGTGTTTTTACGTATTTATTGCTCAAAATTTTCAACTTGTTGTTTTGCGAGCTGTCAAACTGAAATGATACTGTCTTCTATTAACTCTTGAACAGTAGTGAACTGTTGCCGAAACTTATTCGTCTGTTCTGTCAAGTTCTGTCAATCAATTCAATTCACAGGTATCATTTTATCTGCTACATCAAATAAAACAGTTATGAGTTGTTTTATATGAAAAGTTAAACTTGTAGTTCGATGTTTTGAAAAGTTTTCACACCGATTTTAACAACAAAAACAAATGTAAACTAACACTGGATTTAATACAATGCCTATAATAGTGTTTTTATTAGTATTTTCAAGATTAATATTTTATTTTCATATCAAACAAGTCAGAAATATCTGTTTTCTTATGTATTGTAAGCCAAAAAGTTGAAATCACTATAAATCACACGCTACAATTTACACGCATGCGCAGATCGTGCTCATGTCGAGTCGATTTTTTTTCATGCTGGCCACGCCGATTTTAGCGATGATTTTCTCGTGTTTTCTTCGGTGAAATTTTTTTAAACTTTGTATTTTTGTTATACAAGACGAGTGGTACAACATATCCAAATTTTAAGAAATTCTACAAATAACTTTTTCTGTAACCGTCATTCACGAATATCTCGAAAACTTATTTGTAAATTCCCTTCAAATTTTAATATGTTTTTCCTTTATGGACCATAAATCTTCAAAAAAAAATTCAGAAAAATTCACCGAAGGAAAATATAGATATTGTCAATTTATTGTGAAATTAGACAATAAAAGTGCAAAAGATTAAACGTCATGGTTGCCATGGCAACACAAACACTGTTTTAATTTGTTCATAAATGGACAGCACACAGCTTCTGAACTTTCCTGGAAATGATCATATTGCCTTGTCTTAAATGTATCTAATATAAATTCGGTTCAAAGCGAACGATACTCAAAATACCTAGAATTTTAGAGAACTGTAGGGAGCCACCTTAAAAGTACACCCCACTGAAAATTATCAGTACTAGAATGCTCAAGGAATACAATTCATAGTCAGCTTTGTCTCAGAGTAAAAATTCTATTGTTTATGATCACGTCTTTACTGGCCACATTTACACCATAGGCAGCCCAGCAAAATGTGTAAAAATGCATTAAACGCTTAAAAATACGTATAAAGTTCGTCTCAATTTGCTATCAAGCGATTTATTTGTGTAGCTCATTATACATGCAGATTCCGATGTTGATGTCATTGTATTTTCAATGACGTAAACATCGGAATCTGCATGTATAATGAGCTACACAAATAAATCGCTTGATAGCAAATTGAGACGAACTTTATACGTATTTTTAAAGGTGATCTACAGTCCGTATGTAAACAAAGCCTTTGTTTACATTTTTGTGTCCAAAATATTGAGCTTTATTCGACAACTATTTATATTTTCAAGCTTCTAGAGTATAATAAATGATCAAGAAACAACAATCAGGCTTTTCAAGAACTCAAAACATAGTTAAACTGTTTGTATCATAAAAAGTGGGCTCATTTGTGCACATGCGCAGATCGGACTGTAGATCACCTTTAAGCGCTTAATGCATTTTTACACATTTTGCTGGGCTTTCTATATTTACACTGTGCCAGATAGCTTTCCGTAGCGACGTAAAAACACATAACCGTACCTTTTACGAATAATATTTTCAGAGGAATTATTGCAACGGAGAGATCTTGTTCCGGCTCAGCTTCAAGTTGTACATTCCGTATCGGATAGGTGCTTTTTCCCGCGCCGCTACGGAAAGCTATCCCGTATAGTGTAAACGTAGCCTTAGTGAAACACCCCTGATGCGCGCACAGTTTCTCATTATGACGTAAAAATTAGATTGCGCTGCGAGTCGCACGCTCTCGTCTTATGAAATTGAGTTAAAAAAATAGTTGTTGCTGAAATCCTGCGGCGCGAAGATGAACATGGTTTCAGTTGTTGATGACAATGGGTAATGTAATGTCAAGACTGGCCATGATATTACAAAGAAAGAAAGTTACGCCCAACGAGGTATTTTTTATTATTTGACGTTCATACAACGTCTTAGAGGCAGGCGAACACTTTAGCATTCACCGTCTTAGAAACAAGCGTGCAATTTAGCTTTCTCTGCCAAGTTATTTACTATTTAAAACACGAACAGGAGTGTTTTATCATATATAAAACACGAGGCGACAGCCGAGTGTCTTGCACTGACAAAGCACAGACCGCGAGTGTAGTTTTAAATGGCTTAAAAATCAGTGGTGCCTAAATTACTTTGAATTTGTACTCGAGTAAATGTAGAAGTAATTAACAATAAAACGACTTGAGTAAGAGTAAAAAGTACTGGAAGCAAAACGTACTTAAGTAAAAAGTACAAAGTATCCTTAAAAAATACTTGAAGTAAAAAGTAAAAGTACTATTGTCTTTAGCGTGTAAAGGGGAGACGGACTTCTCCAATGGATTGACATACAAAAGAAATAAAACAGCACACGCATTATATGTGCGCACCAAAATTATACAATATTTCACGGCATGGTCAACTTTCCAGACCCTGTTGAAGATATAATAAATCCATAAAATAAATAATACTTATAAGTAAATCACAAACGAGAGATTCCAGTAACGAAGTATTTTTAGTTCGTTACTTGACACCACTGTTAAAAACAATCCATCTTATGAGTTCATTGGCGAAGTAATTTTAAAAATCAACGTTGTTTAAACCGAGAAAATCAAAGCTAAAGTTTATGTAAATCAACATGTCGACTTTTTATGAGATATGAAACCCGACACGATAGTGATTTCCTTGTTTTTTCCTCATGAATTATTAATAGTTTTTTAATTCTATTAAAAAATCCCGCTAAAGGCGAATAATTTTTTTAAAAGTCGGCACAAAAACAAATAAACTCGTGAAAAAACTTGGGAAGAAAATTGTTGACCGTGCGAACAGCAAGGACTGAAACTTGTCACGGATTATCTGTCATGTGTTTATTCCAATGGTTTATTCACAGGCTTGATATTTTCTATCTATCCTATTTTCACAGAATAGGAACAGCAGTCATGAAAGATGCAGCAATACAGAGCAGCCGAAAGAAATGAACAACACAGGTATAAATTATTGTGAACAAGAACAATGCTGTTCCAACAACTTGTCAACAGGATGTGTTAACTTAATTCGCACCGCGTGTTCCCAGCTGGTCAACTTGCTACAAGCCACTACCTACAAGGTTAATTAATGTTGAGCTCAATCGACTTGTTACAAATTGTCCCACAATTCAACATTCAATAATTTGTTAACAATGAATATTTGTGAACAACAAGTTGTGAATGCAACCTTGTAGCAACTTGATAAAATAACATTGTTACAACTTGTTGACAGGCTTGCTACAAGTCTGTTGCGAACACATGTCTTGTTGACAAGTTGTGATATTTTTACGTATGTACCAGGAGGAAATTAGAGTCGTAGTTCAGACCCAAATTACGACAGCACTTCATTAACAATTTTTTTGCTGTCTACTATTTAGAAGCGAAGCAATGTTTAGAATCTACTTCAAGCATTCAAACTGTTTCTGTTGAACAATGTCAATGTGGTGAATCTTCCAACGTGGGTAATTGTTCCGAATTTGCAGAAGAGAGTTCTCGACGAACCAGGACAGAGGCACAGGACCTGAACATAAACTATCAAACTGATGAAAATGATGATCTTACAAACGGGTTTGATGCTTCTGAACAGAACTCAGAGACGATGGTCTCTTCAAATGAATGTAAATCCGTTCAGAAAGAAAAGATATTCTGTGTCGATGATAACGACAAAAAGGTAAGCAGATCAGCTGAGATAGAATTTTTTGTGTATTAATTATATAAAGTAGCATAACAATTCTTCTAATTCAAATTGGCTTGAGACAGATCACCGGCAAGTCGTATCATTTGTCTGACAAGTCATCACACTTAGTGTAAACACAAAAGGAATTTAAATTTAAAAATGTTGGAAGCGAAAGCAGGATTCATAATTAATTGTGTAAACGTTCTCTGGTTAAAAAAATTTATTTATTACAAGCTTTCCAAACGAATTACTATCTGGTAAACTAGCTGGAATAGCGCATTAGCGTGATCTGTATTGATACTGTTACTGTCAGTTTGTCAAATATTGCATTTATACACATAGAGGGACTATTCTACGCAAGCTCGTCTGTGTGAGAAGTTTGTTTGTCGCGTTTCTACACAAACGAATTATAAGACGACTTATTTTTGTTTTCAGTCCAAGGAACACTTCTTCTCTTGCATGAATCTGGCCATTCTTCTAAGCTGGCTTAAGGTTTAATAAGCCAACGTTTAACAAAGCCTACGCTTTGGTAGTTTGGATATAATAGATGGACTAAATAGACTAAATTTTAATCCAAGCAAGAAGAACAAAATCCACTCGCTTTCGTTCCAAATGTGGTGCATTTTCCCTTGCGCGATACAAATTAATACAAAATTTGCAAATTTCGCAAGGCTATATTTTCCGCATTTTACAAAACATTTCGCGGCCAAACTTTGCAATTTTACTAATATTAACATGCTCTTTCTAGCTGTGGTGATGGAGTTTGTTCTTCTTGCCTAGATCAATATTTAGTTCATAGCTGCAATCATATATTGAGATGGGCTAGACTTTTCTAGGCTTAACATAAGATAAGTGCAGATTGCGAGAGATACAACTACCCGAAAAATACAAACAGAACTTTCAACTCGAAACGTCGAAGTATTTTTAACTTGTATTTTTCAGGTAGTTGCAGTTATCTTATTATCGTGTTTACTTGCACTGGCACGTTTAGACTTAATATAGTATTTCGTTCTGTGTTCCTACAGGCTGTGTCTGCTACAGAAAGCTTCATCAGTAACGATAGTAAAGACCTACATGGTATATTTGACACTGACATTTCTAGAGAAAACATCTTGAATATAGGAAGCACCGCAGGCCCTAGTTTTAAAGCAGACTGCCCTTCTCAAGACAATGGTGGACAAGGGGAGAAGCCGGCTGACTCGCTTTCATGGATAAATAAGGATGGATATAGTACAGAAGGGACAGCTGGATCAGAATCATTTGGGGATAGAGATGACGATATCATCGATAGATTACTAGTGGATAATATTGATGATTTGGGAGTTGATTATGAAAAGTTTGATGTGGTTCCAGATGGTAGGAAATCTTCTCTTACACCTCTTAGTCTTGAAACTTTGAACGGGAGTGAGTTAGATAGACGGGAATGCGTGCTCAGTTTCATTCAAGCATGGTCACCGCTGAATTTACCGAGTACAGACACATACTCAAACCACTGAGCTCTACTATATATATCTGGAGACCGTGCTCGCAAATGAAAAGTGTCCGCAAAAACATGGCGGATTTCGAGCTCCACGTCCACTATTCTCATGGTACGTTAACTGACCACAGCTCAAATGCGTGCGGGCGACATTTCCCACTCCCCCCTGACCAGAGAGCCACTGATCTTTATAATTTTTAAAAAAGGAGTACATTGGAGAAGATTAGTAAATATTTATAGTTACATATGGGGGTAAAAGGTTTCTTCTGAACTTTACCAACTACTATCAAGTTCAAGCGAGCTCATTCGAGCGACTATCTCCACAATTTCTGCTGTGAAATGTATAAATGATGATCCAAACAGATAATATAAATGAGCTGAACGAATGGTGGTATTTTGGCCATGTCGCATGTATGCTTTTGGAGTATCGGTAGGTGCAGACC